AATGAAGGGCAGAGGCTGGGCGCGGTGGCTCACACCTGTAATCCCAGCACTTTGGGAGGACAAGGTGGGTGGATCACCTGAGGTTAGGAGTTTGAGACCAGCCTGGCCAACATGAGGAAACCATGTCTCTACTAAAAATGCAAAAATTAGCTGAGCCCAGTGGCGGGTGCCTGTAATCCCACCTACTCAGGAGGCTGAGGCACAAGAAATGCTGGAACCCAGGAGGTAGAGATTGCAGTGAGCTGAAATCATGCCACTGTACTCCAGCCAGGGCAACAGAGTGAGAGTCTCAAAAAAAAAAAAAAAAAAAAAAAAAAAAAAAAAAAAAAAAAAAAAAAGGCCAGGCACTGTGGCTCACACCTGTAATCCCAGCACTTTGGGAGGCTGAGGAGGGAGAATCACAAGGTCAGGAGTTCAAGACCAATATGGTGAAACCACGTCTGGCCTGGCCAATATGGCGAAGGCATGCCTCTACTAAAAATACAAAAATTAGCCGGGCATGGTGGCAGGCACCTGTATTCCCAGCTACTCAGGAGGCTGAGGCGGGAGAATTGCTTGAACCTGGGAGGCAGAGGTTGCAGTGAGCCGAGATCACACCACTGCACTGCAGCCTGGGCGACAGAGTGAGACTCCGTCTCAAAAAACAAACAACAAAAGAAGGGCAGAGGCAACGGTCCAGCTAAAAAGCCAGGGGATGGCCATGGGGGATAGCTCAGTTCAGCACCCCCAGGACACCTAGGGCTCTTGCTAGACCTACAGTTGTTTTCTGATTGTTTGAAAGGTCACTGTGTCAACCAAACCCCTGGGGGCCAACACCCATAAGTCACAGCAGCCACCCCGGCTCTGCACAGAGGCGCACTGCTTAACTTGTTCTTCAAGAGAACCTGCTGGGAGAAGTGCTGTCGCTGATAGCCCCCAGCTGCCACACCTTTCTGTGTGGCTCCGTATTCATGTTTCCCCTAGCTGCTTCTACCCAACGCCTGAACATGCCTGAGGAGCTAACGCTGCACCATTTCTGCCCACAGAGGACCCTTCTAATAGGCAGTGTTTGCCTGTGGTTCTCTACTGGCCTCACAGAGACTTTCTCAGAGCTGCTCTGTCATCTGAGACTCTTCCTACCCAATGCTTCCTGCTTTCTCTCCTTTCACAAGTGTAGGCTCTTTCTGCCTCCTGCTCTTCCCGTCTCCTTTATCCTTCACAGCTGTTCTCACCAATCTCTTGCACATCTAATTCTGACTTTGTATCTTCTGAGAGGATCTGAACTGATAGTCTAGTACATTCATGGTCTAAGTCCAACAGTACTGGAAAGTTGATCTTCAGGTAGGCAAATCTAGGGGATTTTATAATAGCTGGAGAGACCTGTGAACCGAATCATTCGCGTGGTGTTGAGAAGTAGGGCTGGAGAAGGGTACATGAATCATAGAAAAGGAACGTGCGGCACATCAGCAACTCCAATAAGCTGGGTAGTGTATAATGCATATTCATTTTGAGGGGAGCAACCCTTAGATCGACAACAGTGGATTGGGTAAAGAAAATGTGGCACATACACACCACAGAATACTACACATCCATAGAAAAGAACAAAATCATGTTCTGTGCAGCAACACGGACAGAACTGGAGGCCATTATCCTAAGCAAGTTAACACCAGCAACAGAAAACCAAATACTCCATGTTCTCACTCACAAGTGGGAACTAAACATTGAGTATACAGGGCCGCAAAGAAGACAACAGTAGATACTGGGACCACTTGAGGATGGAGGGTGGGAGAGTGAGGATCCGAAAACTACCCATTGGATGCTATGTTCATTACCTGGGCGATGAAATAATTTGTATGCTAAACCCCTGCAATACGCAGTTTACCCACAGAACAAACCTGCACATGTATCCCCTGAACCTAAAAGTTGGAAAGAAAAATAGAGAAAGAAAAACCTGAGATGGAGCTGAGTTTTAATCCCAACCCACCATCTCTTTGGACAAGTCACTTAGGCTCAATGTCCTCATATAGAATATGAAAATAATTTTACTTACCTTGCCGGGTTGTTGTAAGAACGGAGAGGATGACATATGGAAGGCACCGGCATGGGTACTTCCGTTCACAGTAGCTACTGTTCATTATTAGCTTTCCTGTTTAGGAAGAGAAAGAACGCCTTCCTCTTGTTTAAAGCCAAGCAGGAGCTCATTCAAAAAGAAAGATCCTTCCAGCCTGGGCAATATAATGACACCCTGTCTCTACAAAAAATAGAAAAAATTAACCAGGCATAGTGGTGTACACCTAGTCCCAGCCACTCAGGAGGCTGAGGTGGGAGGATTCCTTGAGCCTGGAAAGTTGAGGCTGCAGTGAGTCATAACTGTGTCACTGCACTTTAGCCTGGGCAACAGGGCAAGAGTCTGCTTAAAAAAGCAAACAACAACAACAACAAAAAAAAAAAAAAGCAAAATGGCCAGGCACAGTGGCTCACGCCTGTAATCCGAGCACTTTGGGAGGCTGAGGCAGGTGGATCTTGAGCTCAGGAGTTTGAAACCAGCCTGACCAACAGTAAAACCCCATCTCTACTAAAAATACAAAAAAATCAGCCAGGCGTTGTGGGGTACCTGTAGTCCCAGCTACTCTGGAGGCTGAGGCAGGAACATCACTTGAACCTGGGAGGCAGAGGCTGCAGTGAGCTGAGATCACTCCACTGTATTCCAGCCTAGGCAACAAAGAGCAAACTCCGTCTCAAAAAGAAAAAAAAGAAAAGAGCTATCCTGAGCAGGATCTTGGGAGCTTGGCGCTGTGGCGGTAGGCCCGAGGAAAGGTAAGCGTTCAGCGTTGAGCCGCGGGGAGGGTAAGCCGCCGCACTCTGCCCTTATTGCGTCCTGCAGGGGCCTGTGTGGTGTGTTGCCCCTGGGGTGTGGGGGCAGAGGCGAGAGCAGGAAGAGGAGCAGAAGAGCCTCCAAATTTATGATGGTTTCTGGGCAGTAGCTTCAGATGGGACGAGAAATGGACACGAACTGGAGCCTGAAAGAGGAGTCAGGGCCGAGAGAGAGAAAGGCCTGCCTGCTTTGGGCTCCTCCCCTTCCCTTTGCTCATGGGCCTCAGCTGTGAGAGAAGTTAACTGCTAGCCCCTGTGCCTAGGGGACCTGGGTTGGGTTGTCCAGGGAGTAAGTTCTAAAGGGGCCCCTTGTCTTTTGAGGGGCTAGGTGGTAGGGTAGGGCTTAGCTCCAGAGGGCAGGGAGCCAGAGCAGACGCAGTAAAAAGGAGGAATCCCCAGAAGACACAGTCCAGGCGTCCAGTCCTGAGAATGCCCCCACCCCGGTGACCCACAGCGGGCAGTGCCTCCAGCTCTGGCCTGGGTACCCAGCGTAAAGCATGTCTAACCAGGGCCCGCTGGACCCCACAATTCTATGCCACCTCCTTGGCAGCTTCTTTTAAGAAGTCCGTTTTCCTGAAAGGAAGGCTACATGACAAATTATTTTCCTCAGGGCCTGACTAGAGGAAAAATAATGAACCAGGAGGTGGCATTTGTCTCCCCTGTCCCTATCCTCTCCCCCACACCCTCCTCCCCACACCACAGGTGTCCCGTTGTGGCTGTCAGATTTCTTTATGGCCCAGCACCCCTTTTCTTCCTGGGAGGAGAGTAGCCAATCAGTTAACCACATCAAGAGCACTACCTGTCTCCCACGTGTCCAGGGCAGGAACTAGTGAAAGTCAGCTGGGCTCAAATGGGTTCTTTGCAAATGAAGGAATGAAAAAACTAAGGAAGGAGAATGTTTTCAAATGCCCCTGACTCCGGCCCCACCTACCCTTCTTCTAACTTTGTTTTTCTATTCCTTCTTCTCCCTACTCCCACCTTTCATAAGCCTTTCTCCTTTCCTCCCTCCCTCCTGTTTGGGAGGCAGACAGACCTGGGTGGGACACTTTGGGCAGGTTATTCATTCTCCCTGTGTCGGTTTCCAGGTCTGTAAAACAGGATGACTCCACTGGCACGTGGCTGTGGTGAGGATTAAATGGAGTGAGGACAGCAGCCGGGGCCCAGTGTTCTCCACGTTCTCTGGGTTTGTGCTGCAGGCCCCATAAGGGAGACTGATGAGCTGCTGTAGGTCTGGAGCTGCTAAAGGTCTCAGGCAAAGAGGAAAAAAGAGGGTGTAGTAGGGGCATCCCGTGGGGTTGGACGCTCAGAGAAGGACTGACTCATTGGGAGAGGAAGTAAACCCAGAGGTCAAAGGGGCCCTGCCCAGAGGCAGCAGGGACCTCCAGTGCTGGGCTGGACACAGTGTCCTGGCTTCTCCCTTGTCCCCATAGGCCTCTGAGGGGTCACATGTTCAACCAGCATCCAAAAGAAGCTCCATTTGAAAATGCTCTGGGGCCAGGCACAGTGGCTCAAAGTGCTGTAATCCTAGCACTTTGGCGGGATTACCTGAGGTCGGAAGTTTGAAACTAGCCTGGCCAACAGGGCAAAACCCATCTCTACTAAAAATATAAAAATTATCTGGGTGTGGTGGCACCACCTGTAATCCTAGTTACTTGGGAGACTGAGGCATGAGAATCACTTGAACCCGGGAGGTGAAGGTTGCAGTGAGCCAAAATGGTGCTACTGTACTCCAGACTGGGCGACAGAGCAAGACCCTGTCTCAAGAAAAAAAAAAAAAAAAAAAAGAAAATGCTCTGTGGAAACTTCTCATTCAAGTCTCACTGAGTAAGAAGAGGGGGAGGATCCTGTATCTTCTGTCCACCTGCTTTTTTAGGGAATAATCCATGTATGTATGCTCTGGACCTGAGGCCATTCCTAACTGGGCTTGCCCTTTGGTGACATCCCAGAACCTGAGTCTGTGATCTGGTGTGGCCTATTAGAAAGCCCCCAAAGTCTCCATGGAATGGCAGCGGCCTACTGGACCAACCCAACCAAGTTACATCTTTCTTTCTCTATCTACAAGCTGCCGCCCCGGACATCAGAGATAGGCACCGAGGAGATCTGCTGGGCCCACAGGAGCTCAGAGGGAAATCACAGAAATGCTCACGTTATATATAAAACTGCTTTATTAAAAAGTCAGCTATTAGGAAAACAAAGCCCTTACAAGGGTTCTAACAAAACATACAAATTTTAAATAAATGCATCAGTAAAATGGCAGCCAGATATACCAGCCACAGTTACAACCTCAAAGGCGTTGTGGGGAAGGAAGGATTAGGGAGGACGTTCCTAGAACTCAAGGAGGAGGCTAGGCACAGGGGGTCTTTGGGTGCCTGCAGAGCTGGGTCCTGGAGCTACCAGGCAAGGACCCTGCTTCCGTTTTCCTTTCCTTGGAAAAATGGAAAGAGCTGGCAGGTGTAGGAAATTTTGAGTCTGGAGCAGAAAGGCACAAAAGTCATTTATAAGGTAGGATTGCTCACTCCAGTCCTGAGGCACATGGGATGGATAAATGGGGGATCAGAGCCACAGGGTGACTGGCTCTGGTCCTGCTTGCTTCTGGCTGGTACCATCTCTGAGTTTGGCCACAGGTTAAATTAAGGTAGACTGAGTGGACTGCATAATCCTGGCAGCCTGGGGTCTGGAGCCAGTCTTTAGATCAGATATGTTGCTTCACTGGCAAACTGGTGTCTACCCCCTAAGAGATCCTCCCAGTGAGGAGCAGCAGGCCTCCTGATTAGCCCTGTCCTCTGAGCCACTGTGGGCACCCACCCTGGATAAGGAACTTCCGAGGGCAGTCTCTGCCATCCAGGCATCCTGAGAAGCCCCAAGCCCCAGGGCCAGGGTTTCTCTGAATGACAGGCAGAAGCACAGAAAGCTGGCGTTGAAACCAGTCCCCACCAGCTGCTGGCCCCACATCCATGGTCACTGCTGACACGCCTCCTTGGTGATATTAGGCAGTGGGTAGGCAAAAAGGGAGAAGTCCAGGATATACTTAGGTAGCACATCCTGCAGCAGGGCGCGTGGGGCACTGCACAAGTGGTAATGCAGGCTTTCAGGGCTGGCTGGCCGGTACCAGGCCTGGCGAGCTGGAAATCGGACGTGGGGTGGTGCCCGCACCCACTCCAGCACCTGGTTGGCATCGGCCTCAAGCCTCTCATAGGATCCCACAAAGTCATAGTGCACAGCACAAGGCTGGCACAGGTGGTACACGGGCATCCAATGCTCATTCATGCGCTCAGGGTCCTCATCCACCAGGTATCTCAGGAACTCGGGGAATGTAACATCGTCGCCTGCAGGGCTGGGCCCTGCTCCAGCCCTGTACCGCCTCACGATCTCGGCCCCATAGCGCTGCTGGTACTCTCGGATCTCTCCAAACTTGTTGCGGTAGGCAGAGAGGAGGCGTTCCAAGGGGTCCCGCACAAACAGGAACTTGAAGTAGTGCTGCAAGCGGTAGCGAATCTCCTCAGGCCTCAGGTCTGCCAGGAACACCAGGTCACTGCGGTGGTCCATCTTGAGGCGGACGTCCACGCTGTCCAGGACGCCTGCCAGCACCTTCAGCACCCGCTTCCAGTTAGAGCAGGCCACCTTGGGCACGTAGCAGTAGAGGAAGCGGTAGCGGTCACTCACGAGGATGTGGCGCAGCAGAGTGCGCCGCTGCCCCACCGGCAAGTCCCAAGGGTCCCGGGGCATGCCCGGCTGTCTGCAAACAGTCCTCAGGGTCCTGTTCCGGACGTCCTGCCGCACTTGCAGGTCCGAGTCCCCAGCACTCAGGGACAGGCCCCCAGGCTTGGGGGCTGTCCCGCGCCAGGCTGCGCCCTCGCGGCCGGGGGGGTGCAGGGGCAGGGGCTTCATCTCGGCCAGGATGCCCCGCTCGATCACGAACAGCAGCCCGCTGGAGGCCACGATCACCGCGAACATCAGCATGGACGGCAGCAGCAGGGGCGGCCCCCCAAGCCCTGCCCGGGCCCTGCCCAGAGGGGCCCGCCTCAGCGCCCGGCCCAGGGGCTCGGCGCCATTTGGGGCTGCCAGCGGGGTCAGCGGGCGGGGGAACATGGTGCTCCCGGGGTGGGGGCCTGCGCAGGCCCGGCCGATTTGACGGCGGCCTGGGAGGCGGGCTCGGGCTGGGGGCGGGAGGAGGGTCTGAACCGTGAGGGAGTTGGGGCGGAGAGGGCAGGGGGCGGCCCCGGCGTGTGCAGAGGTGGCTGGCTCCCAGGCTGCGGCGCCGAAGCGGGCGGTGGGCTGCAGGCGGCGGGCGCGGCGAGGGACCTGGGCCGGATGTCCCGCCCGGCAGCTCTCCTCCCCCGGCCCCGCCGTGACACAGGCGCGGGGGCGGGCCCACGCCGGGGGCGGGGAGACAGGCGGGAGCCCCTGTGGGGTGCGGTCTAGGGAGGGCGCGCGCGGACCCCAACCCGGAAGAGGGCCCCTGAGTCAGGGCCATCCCTGTCCTCTGGGCTTGGGGACAAAAGCTGCTGAGACCTCGAAGGCGGAAAAGACTCGAGGCCGCTCTCGTGCAGTGTGTGTCCTTAGGGAGCTGGACAGGGGGAATCTGCCACAAACTCAGGCCTGTCGTAGCCCTGCCTCCACCAACGGGTCTGGAGGCAGGGAGGCTAGCAGCGCTCTCTCTCAGTTCAGACCTGCCGGAGGCTGGTCTTTCCAGCTGGAAGCAGAGTCCTTGGTGTGCTCCCCTTTGCCACCCTTACCTCCCTCCGTCCCACGGGTCGTGGCCGCTCCAGGAAAGAGCAGCAGGACTGTCAGACACTGACCAGTGTCTCCATGGTGACCCCTGTGTTTAGCAATACCTGGGGACTGACTACAGTGCTTGTCCACTAGGTAATGCTAAAATGTCTAGAAAAGGAATCTCCCCTCCTCTGCCTTCTCCCCACTAGGCATGAGGCAGCGGGATAATTGGGGGACTCTGGGGAGGGGCTAATGACACATTGGTCTGTCAGCTGCTGGTGTGACCAACACACATTTGGAAGGGTGAGGAGCTGGTGGCACCTAACAGCAGGGAAACAGCACGCAGTCTCCTTGCCTGGAGCTAAACCTGTGTTCCACGGCACCACGCTGGCCACTTGGGCGGACAGCAGACCCTAAGTGCTTTGGATGTCAGCAGCCATCATTTCCCACTGGGAACCTGGCTCAGCAGCCAGACTTCGCCCAGCTACGTGCTTGCTGCATGTGGGAGCCAGCAAGGAAGCAGTGGAGCAATATGATTAGAGCCCAAGTGTATTGAGGGCAGCGCCCGCTAAGTGTATTCCGTTTGTAGGTCGGAAGTAACAAGAGGCTGAGGGAAGCTGAGACTCAGTATGGGTCGTTCTGATTCTAAAACCTAAATTCCTAATAACGGTCTCGGTTAATGGAGCATATCATGGAATGGCTAGAAGGGAAGAAGCAGCTGACTTGAGGGCAGACTGTACAGAGGGAGTGATGGAAAATATACCAGTAGGAGAATGGAGCTACCAGTGATCAGATGAATTCAGAAGGGTGAGGGGACTCAGGGATGAGATAATACCAGAGGGCTCACTGATGGCCCCCCAATCTCAGTAACAGGAAAGCACACATTATGAGCCAGGGGAAGGAACGGCAAAGCCTTGCCGCCTTCCAGTTCTCCAGATCCATCTGATTGCCCTGGTGCAACTACAGGCCACCACATGTTCATTTGCTGCATCAGAAGTTTGTATGAAGGTTCAGCCTTGACTGCACTGCTTCTTGCTTCTAATAGCCCTAAAGGTACACATTTCTGGTGATGGGTTTTCTATTAAAATCATGTTTTCCAGTAAGTATGTCTTTTAAACTAGGAGAGGAAAAAAAGACCTTAGACCTTGAAACTTTTTGATAATGTGGCTACGTGTGCTCCTTTCTTTGTTAGAGGGTAGTTTTCTGTGTTAGCAGTCAGAGTGAGGCAGGGGGACTCCTTGAGCCTGGTACTCATCTCCATACCAATTTCTTGTCTGTAAAACTGAGGACAGGCTACCACTCATCTCAAGGGAGTCTGTGGACTGCACATTGAATGCAGAACTAGAAAAGTCCATGGCGGTGTTTGTGCCACCAATAACTTCTAAGGAAATGTTCCTGCCACAAAAACCATGCCTTAGCAAAATGCAGGTGAGGGGCGTGCTGTGCCTCCCAAGAACCTCTATGGCCTTAGAACTGCCCCATCTGAAACATGGTTAACACTAAGGCTTCCAGGCTGGGACCAGGGCTGGGCTGAAGCAGGGATCAGCTGGCCACAAGCCCTTGATCCCATGATAGGCCTTCATTTCCTCAGCAAGCAAGAAGCACCAGCTGTAAGACACTGAGGCTCTAGGAGAGTGCTGGCCAGTTCCCCAAGGTGATGAGATTATCTCTTTTTTTTTTTTCTTTTCTGAGATAGGATCTCATTCTGTCATCCAGGCTGCAGTGGTATGATCATGCTCCAATGCAGCCTCGGACTCCTGGGCTCAAGCAATACCCCCACCTTAGCCTCCCGTCTAGCTGGAGCTATAGGCATGCACCAACACGCCTGGCTTATTTTAAAATTTTTTGGAGACAGGGTCTCACTGTGTTGCCCAGGCTGGTCTCAAACTCTTAAGCTCAAGTGACCCTCCTGCCTCTGCCTCCCAGAGCACTGGGATTATAGGCAGCAGCCACTGTGTGAGGCCAGTGATGAGAAGGTATTTTTACCATGTACCTACTTGGGGACCAATTTCCAGGTCACTTGCCAGGTGAGTGGGGGATTGCAACCACACAGACCTAAGCAGGCAGCTGTGGCCACCATGAAATCAAGATGTCAACTCCCAGTCTCTGTCTTCTCCCCTCACTCTTTTCCCCCTGCTTCCCTGCCCTCTTGGTTCACTGGCCTCGGTGAGCATCCATGCCACAGGGGTTGAAAGGAACCTCTGAAGTAAGAATAGTGAGTCCACACCCACATACCAAAAGATGACAGGACACACAGGAAATGATCCTTTTCTAAATCAATACAATTTCTCAAATTTATTTTTTTCTTAAAGAAGTACTTCTAATCTCTGTCAAAAGGGAAGTGAGGAAAGGTCCTTTCTCCCTTGTAAACACTGAAATACAGATCTGGGAAACCAGGATCGACACACACAAAAAGTGCATTTTACAAAATATCAACTAAAATATATTTTACATGGATTATGCTTCCATTGAAATTCTACCAGCTGCATTTTCAGGTTCGAAAAAATATTTCCACATCTAAGAGATTTCAAAAGCATTTAGGTTCTGGGCAGGAGACCCTACCTCCTGGGAGGAGGGCCTTGATCTCCTTTCCTGCTAGGTGAGTCTGGGCTCCTTGGCAGCAAGGGCCCAGAATGAGCAGGCTCCAAGGCTGGCTCTGCACAGCCCCCACTGCCACTCTGCCAACCTCTCTTACTGCCCCATCCTTCCAGACTGACACCTTCCACCAAACAGCTTATTCAATACAAGGAGACCCAAGTCTCTTCCCTTCAGGTTTGGGGTCAGGCTTCCCAAGCATAAATTCACCTCTGAAGCCTCCAGGCCTCACCCAAACCCAGTGACCAACAGGAGCAACTCATCTACTAAAAGGACAGGACAGGGTATGTTGGGGGAGCCCTCGGGATTCACTTCTATCTTCCTCTGCAGCCCCTGTCCAACTGTCCTCACCCAGTGCTGCCTCCTCAGCCTGCTGGGTTCGTTCGTGTGCCCCTCCTCCCTACGGGAAGACCCAGGGCTGCAGTTCTCGGCCCCTGCCCCTGGGAGTATGCCCTTGCGGAAGTGCTCAGCTAGCAGGTTCCCAGTGCCAGGCCCAAGCCACACTGCACTCCACTCCCTCTCCCACCATGTTCCTCTTTGGTACAAATAGGAAATAACCAGGCTGCTCCAGCCCCCTCACAGAGTCTCAGGGTCAAGGCCAAGGCCTAGTCTCCGCAAGGACAACAGGGGACTGAGTCTCTTAAGTCTACTCTGGGGAGCAGCATCAGGTGAGAACAGGGTCTCTGGGCAACAGAAACAGAGTGAAAATGCAGGTCCTTAGCTCCTAGAGCAAGTGGCTGCAGCTCAGCAGGTCTGTGGACTGATACAGTGTTGATTCTCGCTGGGATGTAAATTAGTGCAATCTACAAAAGACTAGGGTAAGGGTGACAGGGCAAGGGGAGCCACAGCACTCCTTTGGTTTGATTTCAGGTAGGTGTGGCTTAAAGAGTCATGTGTGAAGTTCTGCAAGAGGTTTTCTGGAACCTCCAAGTGTAAGGCAAGAGGAAAAATCTTCAACAAATCAGGTAGCAATTTTCCTTGCCCCCTGCCCCCAACCCTCTCCCAGCACCCATCTTCCCTCCCAGACATGATAAACCCCACATTGATCAGTTAACTTTCTGGGAAGCCAGACCTGCTGGGTGACCCTCTCTGGGAGCTAGAGACTCCCACAAGTGGGCCACACCCATAACTGTGAGGGGTGGGTCAACTTGTCCCAGCACCAGTGGCTACTGCAGGGCAAAGGAGGAAAGCCAGAGAAAGGCCTCAAGTCCAGGAAGAGGAAGTCAATGCTCTGGAAGCCAGACTCTGGCTCTCTCTGCCTCAAAGGAACAAGCTCAGAGCTGTGCTGGGTTCTAGAAAAACCTGGTCCCAGGCTGAAGGGGAAGCGGTGGGTCACAGTGGGTGAGGTAAAGCTGGCTCCCACTCCCCCTTTGAGGGCCTGGGAGAAGCTACAGAAGGACCTGTAGGATCCGGTTCCTGGAGGACCTTGCCCCTCCTTCCCATGCCCACCCTCCTAGGGCCCCATGTCCCTCAGGCTTGGCCCAGCCTCAGAGAAGACTACTTCTTCGGAAATCGCCACCCAGGGGAACCACAGAAGGTACCTTGGGGCAAGCTGAGAGCTCTGATGCTTTTCTTATACCCTGGCCTCCCCAGTTCCCTCCCATGGGGCCCAGAACCCACAGGGGCCCCTGCCCTCCCCCCACCCAAGAAAACCACAGGCCAGCAAACTTAGGCCTCTATGGCCCCCTAACCAAGTGCTGTGCTTCAAGCAGTGCCCCCTACCCTGAGCCCCACTTGCCCATGGGTAGCCCCAGCGTGGGCATGAGGAGGCTACTGGGGATTCTTAAGGATGCGGCCATGGCGGAAATCATAGACATGGCGGCAAAGGAACACCAGCTCAGGGTCCGTGTCCTCCGGCACTGTGCGGTGGGGTGGGGTGGAGTAGTCTGCAGAGGGGGGCACCAGTGCTGTCTTTCGGCTGGGGAGGCCTTCGCCTCGGCGCTTGGCCATGGCACAGAACCTGCAGAGAGATACCATTCACTGTCTTTACTCCAGCCACCTTTGCAGGAAG